TGTGCGTGTGTGTGTGTGTGTGTAGGTGAATTTGTGTGCACTCTCCCGGTTGTGTGTGTTTGTGTGTTTGCATGGATTTGTGTTGTGCTGATGGGCTTATTATTTTATGGACTGCTGCACTCTTAGTGCTCCTGTGGATGTGGCAGGCGAATAAAGATTGAATTAAGATTAAAAAATATATATATATATATATATAGGAGGACTGCGCCGCAGGAGAAAAGATGTCTGTCGTTTATTTCTCACAGTTTGCATTGATGACTAAGAGTGTTTGTGGAAACATTTACATGTTTTTTTTGGGGTGGGAATGATGAATTAGAGGCAAAAGAGAATTTGGGGCTTCAACACATGCATTGAGACATATTGAGGGCGCTGAGGGTTGCACAAATAACAAGAATTGGGCTGAATTTGAGCACATTTTCCACTCTTGTGATCAAAGTTAGGAAAGACATAATCAGATTTCCCTGAAAGATTATTCTGACCGATGATCCTGTGGTGAGCAGTGTATTGAGGATGAATTTTCCTCACTGATGAGCTCAGAGAATGGTTGGGGTCTAATATGGTAAACTGGGGTGGTAACTTTCAGAGCATTTTTTTCCTCCCTTGCAATCAAAGTCAGAAAAGGTCAGTTTGTAGGAGATCTCGAAAAGTTAATCCTGGTTATCTTGTAGTGTGGCATGTGTGAAAAGTGATTTTTTTCCCCTCCCCTGATCAGATCAGAAAACAGTCTGGGTCAACAATTCTAATGGGATTTGCACATTTAGACATATCTGGGTCTAATCGGGCCGGTTTCTCCACTTCCAATGAAAGCAAAGGCCCAAATACTGGATGTCCGTAAAACTGAGGTGCTCCACCGTCTTTTGAGCCAATATCTACTTTTCAAGCAGCCAACCTGTGGTGATCGACCATTTTTTTCTGGTCAACGAGGGAGGGAGTGATGGGTGTCGCGGGGGTAACATGCACAACACCCCCCACTCCCCTTTTTCCCTTCCCTACACCCTTTCGCAGTTGACTTGGGAGCAGCTCACGATCGACGGGTTGAGCACTCTTGCTCTAAAACATTTATCAAGGACCAAAAATGAATTATAATAACCCAATTATCAAGGGCCAAAAATCGTAAAACCAGGGACATGTATTGGGATAATTGAATCAAATTTAATAATTTGTGTTGGCATAGTGACGGCAGTGGTGAATGTTTTGGTCTGCACAGTTCCCAGAAACAGATTAATCTCATTAAAAGAAAGCTTTTAAGTAATCACTTTATCATGTTGGAGCAGGGTATTTATTTTAGAGATGTTATTTTCCATTTCGTAAGTGCTTCAATTTACCTGCTGCTTATAATGGTATAATAGAAACACAGTTAACTCCATAAGGTACATCTGCCCAGTCAAAGGCCATCCAATGCGAACATTAGCCTTTACAAAATGTCGCTGTGAATTGACACTGTCAGAGGTACTCATTTAACATGACCGTATATTTATTCTTGTCAGAGTCGTGTGCTGCCTGACACGGGGGTCAGCACAGTGGCAGTTAAGAGAACAGTCAGGGACTGTAATCACACAAGTGCGGCCAGACGCGGGGTGACACTCACTCGGCATTGCCGGGTTGCCAGGCAACAGGGAAGAGCGAGCATCAAAGGCGAACCAATCCTGAGCGAAATAATAAACATGGAGAACGAGAGGAAGGGGAGCATGGTGTACAAGTGGTTAGCATTGTCTGCCTCACGGTTCTTGGGTTCTGGGTTGGAATCTTGACCTAGGCCTTCCTGCATAGAGGTTGCATGTTCTTCTTACATTCAAAATTAAAGACATATTGAAGACTCTAAATTTTCCATAGGTTTCAAGGTGAGCCTGAATAGTTGTCTTTCGGTGCCCCGACATTGATCAGTCTAGAATCTGGATCGCAACAAAAGTTAGCTGGGAAAGACTCCAGCTCACCAGCGCCTCCACTAAAGACAGCGAATGAATGTGAAAGAAAATGGATGTATGGAACCAGAGGAGGTGGAGGAAGGCGAGGGTACAGGCTGATGACAAGGTGTTTGCGCACCTCCCTCACCTTGTCAGCAACACCTAACACCTCTTCCTCTGGCTTCAGGTCGTGTTTCCCTCCTGTCGCTCTGTCAAAAGTGCTGTCAGAGAACTGGACATGCTGACAGCAGTCTTGTTTTTTTTTCTCCCCCCCACCTGTTTACTGACATAATGCTTTGTTTGGAACACTGCATGTTACACTGTACAGCATGGGAGGCGTGGGGGTGGGGGGTGGGGGGAACTTTCTGACCAAGCTAATTAATTACATTGGAATTGTACAGCGTCAGGGAACACCTTGTTAGTCTGATAGGCATTTAAAGAACAACACTAGCAAAGGAACTAAATGCGTGATATTTAGTGGAAGTACCAAACAAGTGTGTTAACCGAAGAACATCAAGTACGAGAGGAACAAGAGTTCACTCGGTCTGCTAATGCAAGCTGCTATACAAATAGCCACAGTATAGTGCCATAGAATAATAGTGGTCATTTTACACTGTATTTAATGTAATTTATTTTAACAGTATACTACTGTAGTTTGGTTGACAGTACAAGACAGTAGGATTCCGGTGTTATTGTATTTTTACATGACACGCCCGTTGTCTTAAAAACAATAATCAGAATAATGCATCCGATTTAAAGGGCGCTTTATGTCACACACTCAAAAGACCCACAAAAGATGTTTATGGACTTGCACATTCACACGGGTGTGGTGAAACGTCTAAATCACAATGACACGTGACTCGGACAGCGAATGCTCCGGTTACTGGATGACCTGCTCCTTAGCCACGGTCGTGCCGTAGTATGATGTTTCTTGTATTCGATTTTTAAATTGGCTAGACCTACTTGTGCTAAAGATTATATTCCAAAAGCATCCGGCAACACCCCGTCAGTCTGTGCTGTCTAAAAATAAGTAGCCAATTAAATTGTACCTCTGATGGCCCGTTTCGAGGTGTTGCTGGGGACTGACGCTACCTATCTGGTGTTTCCATCTTGGTGTCTCGATTGTCATGTATTCGTTAACACAGCATGCCCTGCGATCCCCGTGGTTAATTTTAATGCATGGATGATTAATAAAGGAGTAGAATGTATTTTCTGTCAAGCGGTCAAGTTAGAAATGTAGATAGAAATGCGGCGCCTCCGTCTCCAACGCCTGACAGGAAATACAGTTTTATACAGTTAATGTGGGTTATTCTTAACCAAGCATTTACTGTTAAGTTACATGTGGAGGTGAATATTTATCTCTTTCCGGGACGGCGGTTACTACAGTGACCAGCTTATCAGTTTACAGGTTATCATTATTTATTCATGAAAGGGATAATGGTACTTTTAGTTCATAGCAATTCATAGTTTGATGCTGTTGAATTACAGTGATCTACTGTACTGCCCTTTTAACTGACTGATTTAACTGCTGATTTGCATGCTATGGATAAATATTTGTCCGTGTTTTACAACTATAAAAAATAGACACAGCTGTGAATTGGCCGTAAATTTACAGAAATTTGGTACAGTGTAGCTCGCCACAAACTGGCGAGATTCCATGCATAGAGGTCTCTAGGACAAGAGCTTTAATTGCTTTTTCATGTCAAGTCAAATTTATCTATATTACCCTTAATCACAGAAAAGTCTGAAAGGACTTCACTATTCTGAACCACCCAGGAGGGAAAGAAAAAAAAACATCTGGGGAAAAATGAGAAACCATGAGAAGGGGCCGCAGATGGGGAAATCCCCCTTCCAGGCTGGGCAGGCTGCAATGTATGCAGAGTTCTTCGGCCTTTTTTGTCATATTATTCCAAAAATTAAGAGTGAAAAACACGAAGCGGAAACGATGACTGTCACCTAATTGTTAGCCGCAACCTAAGCCATCACACACAGAAAAATGGACTAAACAAAATTAGGAACGCAGCCTAGAGTGGACAGAAATTCCCGTGTGTGTATCAGGCATCTTCAACACCTGGGTAGCTTATCATTTTTTTAAGTTTTGATGTTCACGACTGTGTTTTGATAGAGATTGTATTAGTGAACAGTTTTTGGGGAGGTGTCGTTCTACGCAAACTCGATGGTCTCCTGTTTGTTTGCCAGTGACACCCGGCCTGACCCCAAACAGCCACTCAAGCTGAGGCGAGGCGGAAAAGGAGGTCAGGTGCAATCAACATTGCTGTCGCAGTTGTGTCCACTTCACTTGGGCCTGTAACCAGGCAACAAGGCAGCGTGCCCGCCGCAAAGTCGATCTGACAGCGTCAGGTGGATTGAGCTTCGTGGACTGGAAGCGTGGACGCGGCCCAGCGCAGCAGTTTGCGCGGTAACTTAAACCAGCTGAGTACCACAAGCCAAAAGGTTGTCGCTTGAGAAGTCAAAGTCGCTCTGCTATCTGGCTTTGTCCTTGTGAACAGGAGACAATGTGTTCTCCGGTATCTCTGATTGAGATAACGATGGTCAGGACAATATTTGGAATGAAAATCCCCTGATTTTATTATTGGCACGATGGGCAGTTTTCACTTGAAAATGGCCACGCACATTGTTGCTGTGTATGAGCTGTCTGAAATGGATTTAATAAAAGAAATGTGTTTTGAATAGACATTTTGTGAAGTGTTTAATTGAAGGTAGTGAGGAGTAATTGGTTTTTTTTTTGTGTGTTTTTTTGGGTGTTCAGCATTTAACACTTTGATAATGTTACTTTAGCACGGTATAGTGTGCATACATACAGACACTTTGCTGGTGTTAACATTAACATCTTAAGGTGTTAAATTAACACCGGCAGATTTTCAGTGTCCATCCAGTAATATTTGGACCAAATGAGTGCCACAATATTTGTCTCTTAATCATTTCTCCACTTTAACTCGGAAAATGGCACACAAACGGCACCTACTTTATGTTCTGTATACATCTTAATGACGTTTATATGGCCCACTTCTTCTTACAAGGCTCTGGCCACGCGGTGAGAAAAGACATCCCAAAGCTGATAAAGATGCCACTTACCACGGCCTGCGGCGGACGTCGTAGAGGTCAATCTTGTTGGGAGCTCTCCATGGAGTGGCTGGAAAATAAAATGCATGTTGTCCGCTGCACTGTAGGATATTTCACCTCAGATTAGATCAAAGTCATAATTTCATTCCGCCTATCCAGTTACCAGGAGAGCCATCTGATAAGAAATTGCCCAGCAGAGCAGCCCGAGGGTCAATTTAGACGTTATCTGGCACTGAGTTATAAACGCGGCCAGTTGCCATTGCCGCCGCTTACCTGGGTAGTAGCGTGTCACGCCCGTGGCGCTGCCGAACACCTGCCAGCGGAGGGAGCTGTCATCTCTGCGATTCTCAATGAAGACCCGCTCCAGCGCCTGCGTCCAGTTCAACTCGTTCAGGATGACCGGAGCTTAGTACACACACACACACACACACACACACACACACACACACACACACACACACACAGAACAAAATCATTCATGAGACAATATCTATATCCGTAGGTGAATTGAAGAGAAAATGGAACCAAAAGCGCATTACAGTAATCCCCTGCAATCAATAGTGAGCAAGTAGTTGACGCCCCCCATAAAACATTTTCAGAGCAAATGCCAATACATTAGTACTTTGTACTGTATTACATTAAATCATGACAAAAGTGAATGTGAATAAATAACCAGGTTTAATAAAGTGTGTTGAATGTGTGCTTTGCATCGGCATGGCCGAGTGATAAATATCCAAAGCTGGAGTTGGGTCTGCATGTTATAGTTTAGTGTGAGTATCGGGGCATGAGCTGCCTACAGCAGCTCCTTGCAAGTGTGTCCTTCTGCATGAATGTGTGACTGTTTTAAACATGGCTGAAAGTGTGACGACGATAAAGTCTCTTCTTGCCCATACATTTTTTTTTAAAATTTTTATTGTATCCAAAGCTGACCTTGTCTCTAATATTATTTCGCTGAACAAAGCAAAAAATTGGCAAAGCAATGGCTCCCAACTCAAAATCTCAGAAATTAGGGCACTCATCAGTCAATTTACTCTCCATCCATCCATCCATTTTCTGATCCGCTTATCCTCTCAAGGGTCGTGGGGGGTGCTGGAGTCTATCCCAGCTGTCTTCGGGCAGTATGCGGGAGACACCCTGAATGGTTGCCAGCAGGGCACACGCAGACGAACAACCATCCGCGCTCACATTCACACCTACGGACAATTTAGTGTTCAATCAGCCTGCCATGTTTTTGGAATAAACCGGGGTTTAGCTCATGTGTTTATGAAGAGACCAAAATCTCTTTACATGAGGCAGACTCTCCATTTCTTCCACTAACAACCCAGGCTACACTTCGCTCCTCCACGACATACAAAGCTTGTCTTCCACTCGAGAAGTATCGCGTCAGCATTCTTCCTGAATTCTTTCCGATACAGATGACACTTTGGTGGCATCTTGGGGCCTTTCACAAAAGTACAAAAACTGCAAACAGTGGGTGAGGGTTTCTGTAACAAGTTGGGAATGTAAATCGGCCGATTTGTCAAAAGTTAACACAAATGGAGGGGGTTATTGTACCTTTAAGTGTGCTGATACAAATAACAATTCAATATTATGCTTCGAAATGTGCGGAAAACTGAGGAGTAACATCGTCAGGCTATGGCCCACAAGTCCTCAGTTCACCGAGCAACAGTTTCCAGGTGACCTCATAACATGACTGGGAGATGCTTTTTTTCAAAATACAATGAGGATCACAAATTCTGCATGCTTTACCTCCTCCTAGAAGTTTTAAGGATGCTCGTGTCAGACAAACAAGCAAACTTCAAAGAGGAAAGCCGAGATTAGATGACCATGCATATTCATAAATATTATTCAAAGTATTTCCAGTTTTAAAGGCATGCAAAGGTCCCAGAACGACCTTGGCATCGTATACGTAAGCGCACAAGGCGACGGTGGCCATCTCGCAGGAAATCAATCTAATTTGGCTGATATCTGAACAGTCGCTGAGGAGAAATGCCAGATTACCTTGGAAGAGGTGGTATGTCACCCGCAGAGTGTGTGTGTATGTGTGCATGCGTGCGTGTGTGAGGGGGCAGGGGGGATGTACAGTGTTATTGCAAACATTTGCTTCAATTGTGTGTTTGAATGATTATTTTGAAAGGACATAACGGCATGCAGTCTAAATCCTAAAGTCAGGTATATATTCCTCTTGTCTCTCTCTCACACACACACACACACACACACACACACACACACACACTCGTGCAGAAAAGGAGAGTGCGGTTAACATGAAGTTTAATAGCGAGCGCAATCGGGTTTTAATAGGCACCTGATTAAAGAAGATACCAGCAGAGGAGAAAGTCAACTGGCTTGTCTGAGGAAATGAAGTCACTCAAATGACTTTTAGTTACAAGGCACATGAACCCAGAAGCGCCTACTTGGCTCACTCGTGATCATTAGCAGCTTCTTCAATGCTTTTCAATTACGGCTCACTTGATGGAGCAATGGGATTTCTGTACGAAGCGCAAGTGATCTTGAGCCTTTCCCAACTGAAACCTAGGACTGGTCGCCAATCAGGGAAGAGCAATCCTGTAATTTTTTTATACGGCTTAACCTCACTTGGGTCATGAGAGCTGGAGCCTATCCCAGCTGACTTTTGGAGTCCTAAATCGGGTACACCGTGGATTGGTCACCACAGAATTGCAGGGACCATCTGCTATTTCCGACTAAATTTTCCTAAGAAAACATTTTGCATCCGAGGGAGACCCCTGTCTCGATTTCCACTGATGCGTATTTCCGGAAGATCAGAAAGCCGAAACGCACATTTCAATTTCACCTGGTCTACACATTTCTCAGACAGCGGTCAGCCAGTCATCTGATTAACACGTGTAAAAGTATTATCCTTTAAGCGCCAGTTATCACAGGCTGCGTGCTGTCAAGTCCTGGCTGTTCTCTTATCTAAAGAGAGCCACCGAGTCTGAAGTGATAGCTGTTTCGCACCAGCCAAGGGCAAAGAGACATTCCGCCATCGCTGTTTAAACTGCATTGACTGAACATCACGGGTGTTCCATGTCTGGCCTGTGGGACATTTGGGGCCCGCTGCGTGTTTTTTTAAATTTTTTTTTAACTAGCCCACTGCATTAATCTAATGATAAAACTTAAGAAATTAAAATGTTAAATGTCATGATGTAAAAAAAAGTAGGTATTTCTTTTCCAAGCAGTCACACTATTTAAAATAAGTAAAATCAGGGTAAGCAAATGAATAGCTAAAATCCATATAAAATAGATGATCATTTTCATTCAACATGCATTTTCCCACAAAATAATCAAACTATTAAAAAATACGGGAAAAAAACCCTGTAAATATGTGAATCCGCACGTGCCGCAATGCAAGTATGCAGCGGTCCACTGTACTCTAAATTCAACCAAGGAACAGGTTGCATGTCAGAAAACCACGGAAGCATTTCAAAATAAAAACATAAAGAAATAAACCTTGAATACATACCACTATATTAACAAAATAAAACGTGCAACAACTGAGTATTACGAGCTACAACTGTTGAATGTAAGACAATCACAGTTTTACATCAAATACAAAAAAGTCATCAATGTGACTACTGTATATTAAGACATCGCACAATTTTTGAAATATCCATTTTAAAAATGTTGAATGTTACAAGACTAAAGAGACGAAAGACGAAATTTAATGAATAGAAATGGGTGCATGTCAAAATATGTTGCATTATTGTCTAAATTCATAGTTTTACATACAGAGAGAGTGCGACCTTTTTTTTTTTTACCTTAACCCTTCCATGCACCCTGTAACCTGATAAGATGATAAACTGTCCACTGTAGTAACCTCTGTCCCTGAAAGGGTTAATTACTTGAATTTTCGAGGCGTTAAAAACTTTGGCTCAGCACACTGTATTGATCTACATTATATTGGATTGCTTTTACCCTAAACACAAAAGGGGCACTCCTCAGTGTAAAGTATGAACATCTCTGACAAAACGTCTTCTTATTGTCGTGGATTACAAAGCAACTGAGTTAAGCGTTTACGTGATGTTGGTTGTGTGTTATTCTATCCAGGTGGTGGTCAGCTCATGTTGCTGTCTCAAAATCACAGACCAAAATGACTTTGGGCTAAAATAGGTCATTGTACGCAAGTATACGAGTTACCTTTGCTGTCAGTCCTCACGTACACACAAAAACACGCCTGCGGGAGATCGCTTTAAGAAAAACGGGCGCGTTCGAGATAAGCTAACGCAGCAAGCTAATTCTCTTTGATTTATTCACCCAGGATCTACCCCGACTTCTCTGGACAGTTGATAAAAAGACGAATTCCCGCCTCGGGGGGGAGGCGAATTGCACGCTCGCTCGGGCAGCAGACAGGGCCTCCTGGCGCCGCCATCGTTCACATGAAATGCGCACCCCCGCCCACCATGCGCGATATCTTCAAAAGGTAATTCATCAGCGTGCCGCTCCCATGACATTTGGAGCACCCTTGGCTTTGCCCCCTTTATGTGGCACCACACCACAAAAGCGTTAAGAGAGAGGGAATTTATGGAGCGTCTCCGCTTGAGATTGTTCCTAAACCGCTCTAGTCGCCTTACTTCCTGTGGAACCACCCGCCCTCCCCCATCCTTCCTTCATATACGCATTATTCACACCGATATATCTGAGATAAAGAGCCATCCAAACAGATATGCGCCTTATGCCGCTGTATTAATACAACATCACACAAATGGCTGCGTGAATCTGCTGTATTCACAGAGCACAGCGGGTCATATATCAAGAGTGCAGCACACACAAAGTGGGCCCGGTTCACAAATCCATAACGGTAATGGAGCTAAAGCTATTAGCCCAGTCACTAAGGAAGAGTCGGGCCCATTAGAGCTGTCGTAGTTTACATGTGTAGACAGCTCCGTGTTGTCGACATGGGCTCACGTGGACAAGTCGTGTACCTGACATCGGAGACGGCTTAATTTCAACCTCACGATAAATATTTCTCATGTGCTGTCGACTTTTTCTGAGTCCGCCAGACTGAGTCAAAACAAAGCTGACAGTCAAATGGCTGTAATTACAGCAAATACACAAGAACAACAAGCAGGGAGTGCACCCAAGAAGCTTTTCACTGGGCATCCTTTACAAAAGGTCCCAAGTCATTGTTGGCTCATGTAGAGATCTTAAAAAAGGCATGCATGCACTTTCTTTGCCAATTTACAACCGGTTCCAGTTGTCTTGATACCATATCTGTCATACAGTTTCCACAAACTACCCCAGGAATCAAGAATAATAGCAGACTTGACAAGATCTTTTGCTGATTCAATAATAATCAACAATGATTGTGCACTTTGTTTAAGCAGTGATTCCCAAACATTGTGCTACAGCACATTAAACAATGCTGTGAGGGATCATACGATCTGCAG